TATGAGAAAAGAAACAGTGTTTATGTATATTCTCAATATTTAATTACAAGATTGTTTGTTTTTGCATTAAGAACTTTGTATATTGTGTAAAATTAATACATTATTTTTCAACCTAATTCCTGAGTTTTGCATTTATTGTATTAATACTTTAATTCCAGTTGTATCACAAGGCTGGGGACGTGGTGTGATCCGCACGTGACGCCATTTAGAGGGCGACACCTATGTGAAAAACACTAAAATTTACAGTCAATATAATTCTTTATCCAGTTAATCTTAAAATAAAATTATAGGGTAGAGGGGTGCACAAAACCAAAAATGTAAAATTGTAAGAGGGTGGAGGGTTGACACCCTCAGTTACCACACCGAGTGTAACAATAACTAGTCTCAAAACTACATTTTGGGAGATAGAACAAGATAATACTAGGGGGACGAGAACTTGATTACTACCAGTGTTTCTTCCAGAATCTTTTCTCGGGGGTGGGGGAGGGGGGAGGAGTGGCACTTGACCATTTTTCGGGGGGGGGGGGGGGGCAACATTGTTAAAAGATGCCTGGAAGAAACATTGATTGCTACTCACGAGGGAGGAGTTTTAAATAATGTAAATTTCTGTATTTTTTTACGTCCTGATTGTGTATTTATGTAAAAATTATTGCGTCACAAGGTAAAGGTGCGGTCCACATCCGGTAACATCATTTAGTCGTGGCACCATGACAAAAAAATGTTACATGTACTGTCAAAACTACGTTTTATCCAAGTTAAAATACTAAAAGATTAGGAAGAGAGGGGTGAAAGCCCACCGAAAATGCAAATTTGTTGGGGGGGGGGGTAGGAGGTGGGGGAGTTACACCTTCAGTAAACGACTCAGTGGGACGGCCGACCTTGTGACCACTAACCAAGCACAATTTTAAAGATTGTATCTTAATTTTTTAGATTTGATTTGTTTTTTCATGCTTTTAAATTTGCAAACTTATTAATGAGCTTCTTGAGATACATTTTATCTGGCCAAGTTACTGACCCAAAAAGCATATTTACAGATTGTTTCATAACATCATCATAATATGCAAATTATCTGATTTTAAATCCCATCATAGACATCAAACTCTCCGTTATCACCATCGAATGTTAAAGAAGTTTTATACGGAACTGACGTACCCGTCAGCATTGTTGCACCCTAGTCGTACATATTAGGGAGACAGAAGGGAGATGCAGGTTTCTGGATGGTGGTGGGAGGGAGTTTCCCACTCAGTTGAGGTTTTTTAGCGATATGTGAAAATGTACGGGTGCCTCTGCCTATACACTATGAAAGGATTTGGGGCCTTTTTGAAATTTTTAATCATTTCTACAGTAGAAAAAAAACCCTTGATTTCCAAGAAGGAAAAGGGCCCCCCAAGTGCCTTGGGCCCCTATGCATTGCTTACTCTAGCTTTACGGTAGCTACGCCACTGCAGACACACACACAGACATACATTGCTTTATATATATAAATTGGGAGAAGGAGAGAGAGAGATGTGAGATGAAATGTAATAACTAGTTGTATTGTAGAGAAACATAATTGGAGGTGATATTATATATTGATTTACCTTAGTATTTTTGTCGTAAGAAAATTTACAACAGAAGTTAACAAAACAGGTTCCAAAATAAAGCATAACATCATTGAGTGCATTTCCTAAGACGTGGCACGTTGCTTTCGCCAGATTCACCATCCATTCATCTGGGTATGTCTGAATTAAATAAATAAGAGTGGATTTGTTACTTTCAGTTCATTTGGACTTGTCTAAATTTAAAAAAAAAGATTGGATTTGTTAACTCCCTTTCTTTTAACGTGACTTATTAAACTTGTGATGCCCTGGATAAGCAAAGAGCTGCAATTAAACCTCTCCTGAAAACATTGTTTTGAGCAGCTATCTTTTCTGTAGAGTTCCTCGTCAGCACAGTGGCGGAACTAGAAAAAATAGCCCCCCCCCCCGCAAAAATTCTTTTTATGCCCCCATATATCAGAGGCCGTAGCGACCCTTCCCGGCGACCGGGGACAAACTTTCGATTTGCACGCCCCCCCCCCCTCAAACTTTCGATTTGCACCCCTCCTCAAACTTTCGATTTGCACCACCCCCACTCAAACTTTCGATTTGCACCCCCCCCCCTCAAACTTTCGATTTACACCCCCCTCCTCGCTACACCTCTGCCATAATATGTATATATATATAAATTAAGGTCGGACTGTGGGCCCTAAACTGCCCCTGGCCCCCCCCCCCCCCGCATTGCGGGGTCTGGCGGCACTGTAGTTCCGCCCCTACGTCAGCATCTATTGTGAAAACCTGCTGGTTTTTTTTTATTTTTAACCCTCAAGTCTCTGAGCCCTATGTATTACCATGGCATAAGTAATGACAATTCTTATCTGTAGCAGGGGACAAGTGACACGTCTGGCCATGTTGACATAGTTTTACCATCCATTTAACTGACATTAATAGCCTAACAAGATAAAAGTGTCAGAAAATCACTGGTTATATTCAAAGATGCCCACGAAATGTACTTGCCTTATGAGGAATAAAAATAACATTTGGAATACAAGCTGCATCTAAAACTGTTGACCATATGTCAGTGCCGTAGTCCTGCTTGATGAAAAATTGTATGCTTTCAAAGAGCATCCCATACATCCTGCCCCTTGCATGTCGTCGACTTGATCCACTAGGAGTCTGGAAAATTTAAGATTTTTATGAAACTTTGGCAAGATTTAATACTTTATAGCACGGGTTCTTTCCAAGAGCTTTCCAGGTAGCATCTGTCCTGGGGTTCTTCTTTGAGGCAGTGGCGTAGCTAGGATTTTCGGGCCACTATGCAAAATCTATCAGTAGGCCACTTTGTCAGTCGTTAGGCTACAACTGAGTGAAACGAAGAGATCATCTGCTACTTCCGATGTAGGGTTTTAAATAGTACAAATATTCTGTCCATTTTGTATTTTATACATCATGATTGTTTATTTATACTATATTTTATAGTGTTATAGGCTTACAGTTAATTTGTTTTTGTTTTTTGAGTAACTAAACACATCAGGGTCGTAGGGCGGGGGGGGGGGGGGGGGCAACCATGACGAAACATTGTTAAATTTAAGTTTAAGTATTTTAAACGGATTAAAAATCATGTCTATATCCCAAGTTGCAATATCCTGTTGTTTCATAAAAGAATATTCGAGAAAGTTTAAGGGAGTTCACTCCCGGTTTATTTGTTTGTTTGAAACAAACTTACGTAGTGATTTAGGTAGTTTATCATTTGTACAAAACACACAGACCTATTTTCTCTTAATCTTCCAGTATCAACACACGTATTTATCTTTTCATAAAAACATCACCTTTTGTATTTGCAAGTCTACCAAAAAAAGGCACTCTGCTTTGATTTCTAAATGAGTACAAGCAATTGAGAACACGAGCTTACTTCTAATGATTTATCAGCTTGAAAAGAAAGCAATGGTGATTTATTAAAAAATCTACCCTTTAACGTCTACGGCCATATATGTTAAACGCACCTGAATAAATTGTTATATGGAGAATTTCTTTGTATCTTAATAGGAGTTACCAAGAAATAATTTCTTAATCTCTAAAATGCATAGTGTGGTGAGGTTTCTTCTGATTATGTTAGGTTTTGTTCTGCTGGGAAATTTTTGTACCACTATGACGCACTAATATTGTGTACTCAAGCTGAAAATCTTGAAAAACCCCAAATCATTTTAGTGTATTCTAAATCGCTAAGTATCTTTTGTGTTTTGAAGTTTTAGCTTTCTAGTGAAGTTAGTAAAGCCGGTACCTCGAACTTTGACCAAAAAGCTTTGTCCACAACATAGCTTTGACTACAGCCACCCCCCTTTGTACAAAGAGATATTGAAAGCAAAATTTCTATGATCTTCCTTGTAGAGGCTTGAGTTTGTCCACACTACCGCCCAGACATCCCATTGTGTGCTGTACGAAACCCTCGAGTGGAAGCTGGAGGATGCATTTTGTTTCGATTTAGTTATCTTTTATAGTAGTAAAACAAATAAAGGCGCCATATTATTCACTTGGGAGTCCGGAGAACAGCTAACAGTGAGTTAAAACCATATTTGAGTAGTTTATTGGTCTAATGTGACTATTGTAGTTTGATAGGGCGTCGACACGACTCCCGGATAGACAGATCCAGAACTAGATTACTTGGTAATCTCTTTCTAGCTTGTCGAATCGAAAGCCTAATTGTTTAATGGAGGCAGCAAACTTTTCATTTGACTACGCATAGTAGCCTATCCGTGTAGCTAAACACGAACCACACAGTTTATAACAAAATGTTTATTGCTGTTGAATAAATCTTTGAGTCAATGTCGGTTAAATTTGGTTTAAAAGAATGTATATATCCTAATATATAAAAGCAGAGTTTCTTCCAGGCATCTCTTCGGGCGGTGGGGGGGGGGGGGGGGGGGGGGGGAGTCGAAGAAAATCTACCCCCAAACGAAATTTATATAGAAAACATATACTTTTACCAGTGCCCACCCCCGGAAAATGTTTTCCATCCCCCCCCCCTCAAAATATCAAGTGCCCCCCCCCCGGAGAAAAAAGTTTGGAAGAAACACTGTATAAAACCCCATGTTCGTACTTCTCTATCTCACATTTACCCCAGAGGCAAGGAGATCAGTACCTTCAGCAATATTTGTAGAACTTAAAGATACGTCGAGAAACAAAAATTAAATGCTGATTAGACTGAACCTATGAACTAGTTGTTTTTTTAAGGACGGGAATATAAATAAATAAAATACTACTGGTCTATGAAGTCGGCTATTTACGACATCACAGACATATTTTACCATATTACGCTATTATTTTACTTGCTTCTTGGTTCTTTTGTCTGTTTGTCTATCTGTCCTCATAGATAGAAACTGCCGACCAAAGTTTCGACCACTTCTAACAGACAGATTCGTTTAAAAATTGTCATGTGGGTCAAGCACCAAAGACAATCCGAAATCAAATATTTTACTTAATTTGATAATTAATTCATTTCTAAAGATTATAGACTAAATTGGATAATTAATTCATTATAAAGATTGATTACAATTCCTGATATAAAGTACCTACTTTAAGCATTTTTTTTTCGTGTTCATTTGGTGTACAATTATTAGAGTCATGCAACTCTATTATATTAAAAAAATTTAAATACTGAAGAAACACTGCTGTAATGCCAGCTTTGGAACACCATATACCCGGCATTGCCCGGGTTTCGGAAATATATTACTTTTCCTATTAAATGTCTGTATGCAAATATGGATGTTTAAGCAAATCACACCTATCCTTAAACCTAATTGTAACTCTAAATTTAAGCCTAACCACAAACGCAAACACAAACAACAACAAAAACGCAAATACATTTAAAAAATAAACGCAAATAACGGAAACATATAACATGTAAAATACTGAAAAAATAATTAATAAAAAACTTTTTAATAACTAACCAATGGTTTTACTAACCCTGCTCTTGATTTACGCTACGATAGAGCTATTTTTAGATAACATAAGGAAATTGCGCTTAAATGTCACTAGACTTTTTAATTAACTTGTTTCTACTTTTTAGTGCAGTAGTACATAAAAGCTTGTTTTTATGACATTTTTTAAGTACTTTACATGTTTTTATTTACAATATAGTTTCATGACTAAAAACAATTGCGCGCCTATTGAACGTGATGAAGCGCTATTGAACGTGATGACGCGTGTGATGTGGTTGGATAGAAATGCCTACTAATTTGGTCAACATTTTAATTAATTCATAAAAAATTAATTAGGCATCCAATTAAGTCAAATTTAATTTCAGATTACATCGACTTCATATCTTGACCCACGTGCCAACTGTGAACCGTATCTGTCAAGTAGAAGTGTCCGAATTTTCGCTCGAAAATCTAGACTGACGACTGACGACAGACTGTCGACAGAGGAGGTGAGTTAAATAAAAGCTTGTAAAAAAATAAAAGCCTGTAAAAAATTGGGAAGTAGGTACAAAATGATTTCCTGTATATTCAAACAAGTAATCATGAGTAATATACCATCTGAGCATAATATAGTCTTAAAATAGTGAGACCATTACAATAAAAAGATATGCAAATGAATTTTTATTGTTTAGCTTTCCCTGGCGACTTTTATTTAACTTGCTTACTCTGTCTATCTGTTTTTTTTACAAGGTTTTATTTAACTTACTTCCTCAAGCACTTCCGACCAATTTATCTGAAATTCGGCACGTGGGTTATGACCCGATGACGATGCAATATGTCCCAATGTGACATCAAATTTGACTTAATTGGATGACTATTTAATTTTTTATGATTTAATTAAATTTTTCTGAAATTAATAGGCTTTCCTACTACTATTTCGCATTATCATACGCGCATTATCATGTTCACTATAGTTTTTAGTATTAAAATTTGTATTAACATTTTAAAAATAGGCCTACTGAAACAAAGCATACAAAGCGTGAGTCTCTATTTAAATATTAGTAGTATCCAATAGATAATATAATCACATATAGTGACTCACGCTTTTCTTTAAAGTAATTTAAATAGAAGTGTATTATTATATATTTAAAGAAAATTAATTTCTTTTCTTCTTTTGAATGCCTTATTGCACAAAAGCTTGTTATTAAAATGTTTTTATGTAATTTTATAAATATCAGGAATCATATTGTTCGGGTGGTATTGCTTACGATTGCTAATTCGAAAGTCTCGAGTTTGGATTACAAAGAGTTATTAAAAATCTTGGCTACTGTAAATATATTAGAAAAGGTTCGTGTATAGAAAATACTAGACGATCCAATTTTAACAGCCTAGTGTATAACAATTTAACTTTAGGCTTTTTTCGCTTTAAACTTGGTGATATATTTTTAAATATATTCCTGTGACAAATTTTAACTTCAAACTTAATCTATCATACTTCAACTTGGGAAATATATTCCTGTGACAGAGCTATAAGTTATATAATAAGACTTACCAAAGCGGTACTATACGTACAAGCCATAGAAATGTGAAACCAGAAATGCAGGGACGGTTGTAAAGTGTCATTAATGGATTGTTTGGTCTCAGTGGGACGCACGTACGCTACTACAGCGATACATTGAACCGTCCGTTTGTCGGCTTGTGGCCAGTAAATTCCAGTAATTGCCCTGATTGAAACTGTTTATGTTCGGCCTGAGCGGGGTCGTCACACAGATTGACACACTATCAAGGGAGGATACTTTTTATCTACATGTTTCGATGACTTTCAGAGCACCAGCACACAATGTTTCGGATAAAGCTATAAAGCGTAGCCCTTTATTATTCCAAATCTAAAAAAAGATGTCTGGTATGCATATTTTAAATTACATTAATATAATTCATAACACTACACGTAGAGGGATGTTACTAAATAACTGAAAAGAAAATTATTCCACGCAATATAGCTAGTAATTTACTTTATGGTGCCTCGTTGATGATAGATGCCGCCCCACCCGCATGATGTTTTCTATGGTCTCCATGAAGAGAATTATATATCGTGCGGCGTCAATTCGGCCAATGACGAAACGGCCCCGTCAAAACGACCCCGACAAAACGACCCCGTCAAAACAACCCCGTCAAATCGGCCCCGTCAAAATGGCCAGCGACATATGGACCCCGTCATATAGGCTCCAGACAAATAGGCTCCCGTCATTTAGGCTACCG